GGAAGCACTGCAGGCTCCCACAGGTGGCGGCAGCACTGTCAGCGGTAGAAGCGTGGAGCTCCCTCAGGCAGCGGGGCGCTGTTGGTGGTGGGGGAGGGGGGTGGTGAGCACCGGCCAGAGGTCAGCGACCACTTGCAGATGCTGCCAGCGGCGTCACCAGCATCCAGCAGCGATCACAGACTGCCCACAGACGCTGCCAGCAGTGTCGGTGGCGAGGGCAGATGTTGAGTAGCGACTGCCCGCAGGTGCTGCTGGCAGTGTTGCTGATGTCTTTTCGCAGGGAGTGGACCGGCACGCTCAGGGGGTGCAGGTGCACCACCTACATGTCGCCAATGGTAATACCGCAACTGAGGCCACTGATAAAAATCTAACTGGTGTAACAGCTGCAAAGGCTTGCTTAGCTGTCAGCTGAATAGGTGAGCTGTGCTTAAGGGCTTTGCAGAGAAAAGGTGGCAAACAACTTGCAGAGAGTGCCCCAGCTTTCCAAATGGAGGGTGTACTGTGCAAAATGCTAAAAGATATCAAATTCACCCAAGGAACCTTGTCTGCTTTTTACTGATGCATTTCAACTGCTGCCAGAGCCCCCACCACAAACCCAAAGCTCTGATTGGCTGTGTTTACACTTTAAAAGTAGCCCTAATACAGGGAAAAAATGTTGAGGAGGATTCAACTGCAGCCTGGAGATAAGGGGAGCAATTCAGTTTTTACCTTCCCTGCCCCACTCATAGTATTAGAACTAATTATTTACTGTTGTATTAATAGATTGTATTCAGCTTATTAGTTTTATTTTTTAAATTAATAATATATATAGATATGTCTGTTTTTTATTAATTCTTTTCCTTTCTGTTTATAGTTGTATATAATAAAGAAACCCATTTGTTCAATGGGCACTGGAGTAAATTATTGGGTGATGGGAGTGAGGGACACACCCCTTTCACAAGACACCTCAGCCAGCAGATCTTTCTGAGGGAGATCCCAGGGCCACTGGCACCTTGAGGATTCAAAAGCTGGCATATCACCCAGTCTAGCATGCTGGTGAGGGTTACAGTGGCTTCCTGTTTGATTGAGGGAGTTGTAAGCAATCTTTTTCCCCATATAAAAGTGTATAGCAATGCAAACAGACTTATAATCCAGAGGGGTAACAAAGCAGCCAGGTGCCTGGGACAGCAGGATGCATGGGTCAGTAGTGAATTCCAGCTACTGCCATACCATCAGTATGATTGTGCAGCTGCAGTGGCAAGTGATATTTTTCTAAAATCCCAGAGCAGCTGGCTCAGGTGCCCCCTCCCAATTACACTATTTTCACAGTTACTGCTGTTTCCTGACTATTCAGCATCAAACAGCACTGTAAGTATATGGAGGCACTACTCAAACCCTCTAGCAATGAATGGGGACTAGGTGCAGAGTGACTTTAGGGATACTGTAGTAAAGAGTACAAAACTTATTACAGACATTGGTGATCACAGTAGATCATTCATATTGTTGTCAAAGCCCAGAATAAGCTTCTTGAGACAGTGTGTGGTCATCTGGGGCCATAGGCTATTGGCCTCTTTATAGCTATAATTTCTAGATGAATCCTTTCATAGTGGTGGGGGAGGATGTCCTAGCATGGATGAAAAAGGTATCTTAGCCGTTTGGACCATGAAAAACTGTCTTCTTCACATGCAGTGGAGACACCCAGTGGTTGCTGGATAACAACTGGAGCAATAATCAGGGTCACAGAAAAAACATGAAACATAGATCCTTTGACGAACACTGACGAACCTCAGCTCTGCAGGTCTTCTCCTGGATGATCTCTCCTTTTGCCCAGGTTGCCCACCCCAGAATGCATCGGGCCTTCCAGGCCAGCTCAATCTTCCCCACAGCTGGTTCCTTGACTTCAGGCCAGCTAGGACACATAAACCTGCCCCGTCTTAGGGCTAACTAGAGCTTCCAACGAACCCAACAGAAATAAATATCGGGCCTCCGCCAACAGACCCCTGGGATCCTGTCTCCCAGTGTCCTTTGGTTGCTCAAATAAAGGAAATAGAAGAAAAGGAAGGGGAGTCGCTCGTCCCTTCGCTCCTAGTGATTGTGAGGGTGGGTACCCGCCCCGTTCCCCACCCTGATCTGTCTCCCCAGCTCGACCACCTCAAAATCCCGTCTGACCTAGGGTCTTTCTCCGGCTTCTCTCAAGCTGGTGGGGCATGCGGTTCCCACGCCGGGCTGTTCTTGCCTCCCCACTGAGCTGGTTGTAAGGGCTAGCAGCTCCCTGCTGATGCCTCCCGCCACTGTACCTGGATTCCCTGGTAGAGCTACAGTGTTGCTCCCGGATGTCTCTTGGCTCCTCAGGCTTGGGCTTCCTCCCTGCCCTGCCAGAGCCCTCCGGTTGCTGCTCTACTCTCCTTCTCCCATCTTCAGCCTGGCGATCCTCCTCCCTGCAGCAGACATCTCCTGGCCGGCATCCTGTTTTTCCTCCACCAGCTGCTCAGCTGTCCTTCTGTCTGCTATTTGAGCAGCCCACGTCTCTTCAAGGCTCCACCCCATTCCTTGCCTATCCAAAGCTACAGGTGGCTCCAGACTCACGGAGCTTGCGTCTGTGATTCTTCCCAGCTGCCATTCATTTGGATCCCAAGGTAGGTATCGGGGTGTGTGGCGTGGAGGTCCGGGACAACCTCAAGCAGAGCTGGGCCTACTCACAAAAGTTAAAATACAAAATATTGATGATATCTGCATAGTGCAAGAAAATGTAAATTTGCAGCTGAACCTTCTAAAAAGGAATAATGGGGCATAACTTCCAGCTTAACTTACTATATTTATGATGATTTTAAGCAGGCTTGTGTGTGTCTGGTATATAACTATGTGAAATGTCTATCCTTGATTAATTAGTATAGTAAATATTTCTTTTCAAATATTCTTTTGCAATTTCTTTCTTAACTCATGTTTATGTGTAGGAAGAGACATTCTCCATATGGGCTTTGATTGGTGTCTCCTCTTGATTTACTCTTGTTTTGCCTCAGTGGTTCCCTTGATCTTCCAAGGACAACTTCTCAAAAACTTTGTTTTTCTTGGTTGTTAATCAATTTCTTGCTATGTTCCAACTTAGTAGAAATTGATAACTTCCTGTTACTGAGGAAGGTAATTCAATCAAAATTGGGACTCTGATAACCAATTACAAACAGTTTCATTAACAGGATTTTCCTGTTAGTTACTGCTTGGGATTCTTTCTTGATTTATGCAACTACAAGAATTATTTGAACATTCTGAGCTAAAGGATATAAAAGAGGAATGAAGCAGCGAACAGGGCACACTTCAAGAATGAGAAATCATTTTGACAAGTATTGCGACTGCACCTAGCTAATCTTCTGGTGAACGGATCCACGCCTTGAGAAGCTGACAAGACACAGACCACCTCTTTGCCTGTATTGGTGAGATACTAGCACTTTTACAGCTAAACATACTGGACTTTGCTTTGCTTTAGGCTCATTTAACAGTGAATAATTTTAATAAATAAAGTCTTTCTGTCATTCATTGAATGAGTTATGTCAATCCTTTATATGCTAGTCCTGAATCCTATTTCATGACTTAA